CCAACTATCCCCAGTCTGGAATCCCAGAGTACAGGGAGGGAAATAGAAGAAAATCCCTCGTTTAGGAATAGCTTTGGGATTTAATTATTGATAAAAACCTAGTTAATAAAGACATTTACTCCTAATATTTTTAATTAAACTTTTTATCCACACCACCAATAGGGTATTATTTAATTTTCTCTATTTGGTTTATCCTCAATTTCTATTTTCTGCTTAACTTTACAAGTTTCCTTTTCTTCATATTTTAGTCCAATGAAGTATTTCTCACTAGAATTCCAATGAGTGAAGTTAGGCTTTGTTGTCAAAGTGGAGATCACTTACATTTTTTCCCACTTTATAGAGGTCTTTATTGATTTTGTGTTTACATTTGAAATTTCAGTTTTCCTTTTCCTAGAACTTTGTCAATTATCTGTCCATGGGATCTAGATATTTACTATTTGACATTTCTAACATTTTTATTTCAAAATTGGTGTTTTTGTTGGTTTGTCAGCTTCAATTTTCATTACAGCAATTTTCTTAAACCATGTTACTTTTTAAAATAATTCCCTTCCCCTGTATTGGTATCTGCCTATTTAAAATAGAATATCCCCATTGGGTGCTATAATAAATAAATATCTAATCAGTCTTCTCTGAAAATAACAAGAAACACAATTGTAAGATACTGAGTTTGTGTATGTGTGTTTAAGTTTGGGGACAAAAAAGCAAAATTTAGGTATTCTATAATATCACATAGAAACATTTAATAATTTGTTCCTCTTAATTCTGTTTGAAGAAATCAGAGGTCCCCATTAAGTTTTTAATGGCCAACACAGTCCCATTCAGTTGGAAAAAAAATAAAGAAGTCATCAGAAAGAGGTCTGTATTACATGCTGTGGTGTTTATAATCAACCATTAGTGTTTTTGGCAGTAGCTAGCCTTTTCCCAGTACAATAGCTTTCAGTTTAATCTGTATCCTTTGCTTATCATGGAAAAAATAGTGTCTTTCTAAATATAAGGGCTTGAACAAAATTCTCTGTGAGGCAAATGTTTTAATGTTGTTCTTACTTTCAGTGGTAGTTAGGGTGGGCTTTAGTATGGTCTACTCTTTATTTTGTGCAGAGAAATTAGATCCCACTAAAATTCATTAAGAGCAACATTAAAATAAAAGTCAGTTTCTTTAATTCTACAAGTATTTTCAAGCAATTGTAAGAAAAATAAGGATATATGAAAGAAAGAGCAAACTGCAAAGAATGAGTAAGTTAAAGAGCAGTTTTCAAATTATAAGGATTTAAACGTACTAAAAATTATCTCATATCCTACTCACTAGAGTTTATTTATGCATGCCTTAATACAGCAAGTATTTAGTGAATGTCTGATATGCCAGCCAATGAGGAATAAGACATCATTTCCATTCTTAACTAGATCACATACTGAAGAAGGGACAGACTATCATGAAATCAGGGAACAAAAATAGTTACAAGGCAATTATGCAAGTTTTTTTTCAGAGCACAGAGGAGATACAGCCTAAATGCTTCCTTCTAGATTATACAGTGATTATTCTACTGAGGCAGTGTAATTAGGTTTTGAAACAGTTTGTTGAAGAAGGTGTGAAAAGTTTCTTTTGTCAGTTTGGGGGGGTTCCTAGGCCCAATTTTGGAAAAGTAAAATCTATTACTTCGATGGTCCCAGAGATCACCATAATTTTCCTCTAGGTTCCTCACAGTGCATAGGAGTAGTGTTGGGAGTCAAAGGCTTAGTACAGAACTAAATCTAGTACAATGAAGTGGACAGAGTTAACTGCTAGAAACATTCTTTTTCCAACTGTTGGATTTTTAACTTTCCCCCGTGAAGCAGTAAAAAACTTCAACAATGTGAACAGTTCTCCAACATTATGTTTTGTGAAACAAAGAAAAGAAAAATGAAATATTTAAATGAGCCACTAAAGAACAAATTTATAAATACTTACAACCGCTCAAATCAGGCACAGCCATTAGAGTCTGTTGGAAGCCACGCGGTGGCGCTGCAGGCTAAAGAGATGGGGAGAAAAAACAACTGAGAATGCTGCGTAAGTCACTAACAAAAAAAAAAAAGAAGAAAGAAAGATTGCGGCAGGTAGGCTAGAAGAAAAGCTGTAGCGGCTCAAGATTAGAAAAGGAAAAATCCCGAGACCCTTGCTCCTACGTGGATTAGGTCTGGGTTTGCGGCTGCTGTTTCTTAATGCTGGGATCTGTGGTTGTGACCAGTATCGAGGAAATACTTGTTCAGAAGAAGCTATGGAGTTTGGAAGGTTGTGCTTCTCAAGACAAAGGCAAGTCCTGTTTCTCTTTCTGTCTTGGGGAGTATCCTTGGCAGGTTCTGGGTTTGGACGTTATTCGGTGACAGAGGAAACAGAGAGAGGATCGTTTGTGGTCAATCTAGCAAAGGATCTGGGGCTAGGGGACCGGGAGCTGGTTGCAAGAGGTGCCCGGGTGGTCTCTGATGATAACAAACAACACTTGCTCCTGGATTCTCAGACTGGGGATTTGCTCACAAATGAGAAATTGGACCGGGAGAAGCTGTGTGGGCCCACAGAGCCCTGTATGCTGTATTTTCAAATTTTAATGGATAACCCCTTTCAGATTTACCGGGCTGAGCTGAGGGTAAGGGACATAAATGATCATTCACCAGTGTTTCAAGACAAAGAGACAGTCTTAAAAATATTAGAAAATACAGCCGAAGGGACTGCATTTCAGCTAGAAAGAGCACAGGATTCAGATGGAGGACTCAATGGTGTCCAAAATTATACCATCAACCCCAACTCTTTTTTCCATATTAAAATTAGTGACAGTGATGAAGGCATAATATACCCAGAGCTAGTTTTGGACAGGGTGCTGGATCGGGAGAAGCAGCAAGAACTCAGCTTAATACTCACTGCGCTGGATGGTGGGTCACCACCCAGGTCTGGAACCACCACTATACGCATTATGATTCTGGACATCAATGACAATGCCCCTCAGTTTTCTCAGGCAATCTACGAGACCCAGGCTCCAGAGAACAGCCCAGTAGGGTCCCTTATTGCTAAAGTCTCTGCAGCAGATGTAGACTCTGGAATCAATGCAGACATATCCTATTCATTTTTTGATGCTTCCGAAGATATTCGAACAACCTTTCATATCAATCCTATTTCTGGGGAAATAGTTCTCAGAGTGTTGCTTGATTATGAGCTAGTAAAGTCTTATAAAATAAATATACAGGCAATCGACGGTGGGGGCCTTTCTGCAAGATGTACAGTTTTGGTGGAGGTATTGGACACCAATGACAATCCCCCTGAACTGATCATGTCATCACTTTCGAACTATGTGGCTGAGAACTCTCCTGAGACGGTACTGGCTGTTTTTAGGATTAAAGACAGAGACTCTGGAGAAAATGGAAAGATGATTTGCTTCATTCAAGACAATCTGCCTTTTCTTCTGAAACCCTCCCTGGATAATTTTTATATCCTAATGACAGAAGGAGCGCTGGACAGAGAAAGCCAAGCAGAGTACAATATCACCATCACTGTCACTGACTTGGGAACCCCCAGACTGAAGACTGA